TTCAATAGTTATTCGATAAACTATTGAATTGAATCAATAAAGTTAAAAATGATTAACATATGAACATGAACCGGTACTCGGGTTTATTTTTGTCCGATCGGAAGGTGATTTTCAAGGCAAAGACCCCATATTACAAAATGATGAATAAGTAACTTTTATTTCTATAAAAAATAATAAAATTTTTACAAAATAATAGATACGCTAATTTTGTCTAATCTAAAAGTCAAAAAAAATTTTGAAGAAATCGGAAATCAGTAGTTACAACTCCATTTATTACAATATCGAATTAGAATAAAAAATTTATATTAAATTTAACGATTTATTTCAGCAATAAATTTAATTTTAGATTCATAACTTGGATGACTTTTAGAATTCCATTTCACTCTAAGTAGATTCTAAATCTACAGTAATTTCATTCCAAAGTACGACATATTTAATGAATTTAATTATAATTTAAATATCGTAGTAAAACGACACAAGATAATATACAAATCAAGAATTTGAAGCGGTAAAGATTTAAATTAAGTCAAAACTCTAAATTAGTTTTTTGAGCGTGCTGAACAAAAAAAAAACAATTTATTCTTTTCAAATTTTATTACAAATAGTTATTTCAAATTAAATCAGACAATTTGAAAGTTTTTCAGCTTAATAAAATATGCGCTTGATGTTTTTATTCTAATTATAAGTATGTAAATATTATATTAATATACTCAATTTCAAAACATCTTTAATTAATTATAATTTCAAAAATTACTAATTATACAGTACTATTTGATGTGAGCAAGTCCAATCGTTAAATCCTTCATATATATACAGAATAGACGTATTTTAAAAAGAAATCACCAACAACCCATGTGTCATACTCAGTGATATATGCAGATTGAACTCCAGAAATGCATTGGTGGTTATCTTTATCATATTGCAAAATTAGTTCTGATGGATCAATATTATAACTAATTCCACCAAATATAAATGATACTTGAGATACATAATCTTTTATGTTACAGGGTACATAATAAATATTCTCAATTGAATTGTATGACCCATTAACATATTTATGAAAGGAGTCAGCGTCATAATATGGCATAAGTATTGCAGGAACTCCAGTAT